CGCGACGGGAAGGGGGGAATGGTATAAGGGCTTTGGTATAGGGTTTTCTTTAGTATATGCGTTTCTGGTATGTGGGTTTTGGCGTAGGGGTTTCCGCATAGGGGTTTTTGATATAGGCTTACGATTTTATCAGTGGATGGGGAGTTTAATTGTAGGTATGGTGTAATAGGGGTTTTGGTGGAGTGGGGAGTTTAATTGTAGGTATGGTATAATAGGGGTTTTGGTGAGTCGGGGTTTGGTATAAGGGTTTTGGTGGGCAGGGGTATGGTATAAGGGCTTTGTTATAAGTGGTTTCAGTATATGCGTTTCTCGTATGTTGTTTTTTTCCGTAGGTGTTTTGGCATTGGGGGTTTTGGTGTAGGGGTCTGATGGGTCTAGGGGTATGGCATAGGGGTTTTTTGGTATAAGGACTCTGGCCTAGGGGTTTTTGGGAGTAGGGTTTGATGAACGTAAGGGTATGGGTATGGTCCATGCACTAGGGGTATGGCATAGGGGTTTTTTGGTATAAGGACTTTGGCCTAGGGGTTTTGGGGAGTAGGGTTTGATGAACGTAAGGGTAAGGGTATGGTCCATGCATGTCGGGATCTGGCTTGTAACGTTGTAGGCTATTAGAGTGCTTTTTTTTTTTCCTATTTTTCCTTTTTAAATTCCGTGTGCCGGGTCCATCCATACTTATCTCCTCTCTCTATCGTTCCAATTTTGATGGGTGTCCGGGAGGACTGCATAGTTTAGCTCTCTGATGTCGCACGACCACCATGCAAAAACCCTAAACTATGCAGTCCTCCCGGATCCATCTGGCAAATTCAGAGAGCTCTCCTCGGGCTATGCTGAATAGGGTATGTGAGCACTTACCGAAACATTTTAATCGGTCTGTAATGGTCTGTGCAGAGCCCCAGTGCAATACCAGGAGGCGCAGGTAACCCAACTCCCACGTCCTGATTGGAGCTGACTCGGGAGCTGACTGACTCTCACCAATTCTTAGCATCATGTGTGTGCGTGTATTGTTGTTGGGCAGTCGTTGATGCTTAACCACAACCGGGGGGTTAAGGTGCATTATACTTAACAGTGTAATCAGCTAGTCCGACGAAATAGTCTGTCATAGCCCCCCGTTGTCCATTTCTCCCTTTCTCCCTACTACGGCCTTATGGCTGGGGCAGACTACTAGGTAGTTTCTCAGACTTACTGCCATTTTTCTCAGCGTTGCACCGGCAGTCCGCTAGGATTGCAAGGTTGGTTGGTGTGAGTCAATCAATTCCAGCACTTTTCTCAGGGGTGTCGCAACTCTTGGGTGGTGAGTCCTTCTCCATCAGTCAAATGCATCCTAGACAAACTGTCGAGGTTCAACCTTCTGATGAGTCGGAGAAAGTTCAATCAAACAGTCTAGCACAGTCATGCTTTTCTTTTGGAGTTGTGTGTGGTGAAGATGACAACACAGCGCGCGCGCGAGAGAGAGAGAGAGAGAGAGAGAGAGAGAGAGAGAGAGAGAGAGAGAGAGAGAGAGAGAGAGAGAGAGAGAGTCATGTGTTGCCATTTCAAGCGTGGTTTCCGTAATCAGATTGTCCGTTTGACGTTTAGTACGCTCGTGTGCTTGTGCTGCGGTACCTGGCAAAGGATGTAGGTGCAGGTGGATCTAAGGTACCAGTTGGTGGGCATGGGACTGGCCCTTTCACAAGGGCATGCGGGGATGGACCACTCCACCAGAAGGTGTTTCGAGATGTGGCTCCACTTCTGCTCGGTGCTTGGCAAATCTAAGACTCTGAAGGCGCTCTATCTCCAGGTCTGTATTCCTCCTACCTTCTTCACGAGGTGTGATTATTTTTCTTTTCATTGCTGAATGGGTGATAATCTCGCTGCAATGAAGCGAGCAGGTTACCGGAGGCCCAAAATTTCAGACACCTTGTCATCATGCCATTTATAACAAAACCAAGGGTCCTTTTAACCAAACTTGCCACCTATTCATTGAGTGGAGACCATACTACCGTCTTCACCCGAAAAGAACGCCCGGTCATTATCGCTGCATCTGGACTGAAAGTTGGGCCAAATGCAGCTGTATAATGACCGGGCGTTCTATTCGGGTGAAGACGGTAGTTTTTGCCAACATTCCAACACTATCCTCATACTCCACACTGAGTCCACAGAGTGACAGGAGTTTGAACTTCATGCGCTGTGTCGTTTTCATTGAACGAATGGGTGATGTCTCTGAGGTGACCCGAGGTCAAACCCCACAGGGGTCAAACTCCACAGGGGTCAAACCCACAGCGGTCAAACACCACAGCGGTCAAACACCACAGCGGTCAAACCCCACAGC